AAAATAAAACTTTTATTTAATTTCATTATCAAAGAAAATGGTTACGAACCCCGTTGCTTGCTACGCAACTGTAAACCGCGCAGTATTATATTATTAATAGATGCGTCTTGTTTTGCACGCGATATTTGGGCGCTACATTGTGACGTCACGTGAACAACCCTTTAAACGTCTGTACAACGTTAATGACTGAATTAAAGATACTGGTGTTCGGATTTATTTTCCTAGTTAGACCACTTTCTATCATTCTAGATAGTTTTCAAAACAAAATTCATGAAATTTTGTTTTGTATTCATCAGATTTTTAAAACAAAATGGCGTTATGACTGAATCAAAGATATTGGTGTTCGGATTTATTTTCTTAATGAGGCCATTTTCTATCATTCTAGATTCAAAACAAAATTCAACAAAAAGTTGTTTTGTATTGATCAGATTTTTCAAACAAAATGGCGAAAGAAGTCCCTTAAGATAAATATGAGTTTTGACTCCTTCCACTTTCATATTTATATTTCATATTTATTTTTAAAACATATGAAATATATTTGACTGAAATAGCATCATATTTCATAGGTAAAATTAAATATTGATTACATATTAAATTCATCTTACCGAAAAATGCTGTAGGACAGTTATGTTATGGCGTTCGAACAAGATTATATTATTTTTGATATTTATCAGATAGTAAATAGTTCATGAATGTTGACAGTAAAATAGACAGCTGAAGATGAGAGCGAAGAGAGAAGTTTATGTCACTAGCATGTCTTTGATGTACAGAAAGATATATAAGCATTTATGATATTGATACTTCTTCAATCGAAATTGAAATAAAAAAGTATTTAAACATATTCCCAATTTGGCCAATCATCCATTGCATTATGAGATTATTTAGTACCGACGGATCTGGAAATATTACTCATAGTATCATTATACATCTAGTAGGTATCACAAACTAAATCACTGATAGAATTCAGGAATTGTTAGGAATAAAAAATTAATGAGTGATATGTGAATCAAAGGTACTCCAATTATAATTTTCAAATATAAAACTATCCCATTGTGAAGTGATAAGGTATGATTTATAAACAGCATTATTTTTACCGTACATTTCCAAATCTGTGTACTAAAATGGCTCAAATTAATTATAAGACCTGACTATTTGGCTGTTTCGAACTTACCTGTGTAAAAAATTAATATTACTCTCTATAGAATGATGACCACGGGTTAGGAGCTCCGTGTACAAACTGTTTTGGTTGCTAAATACATATCACTTTCCCCTGCCTGCTGTGAGTTCGAATCGTGGCAGATTCTCATGTTAGGAAGCTATTCAGCAAGCTTACAGAGGGACGCTGGGTCTACTTAGGTGCCATTTTCACCATTTTGCTCCTTTCGCTTATGTGCCGCAATCAAGTAATTAGCACTGTTTAAATTAATTGCTAAATTTTGTGTACTGGCAGAATTTAAAAGAAAGTAGTCCGACAAGACACCAGTGAAAATACGGAAAATATGTTTCACTGCAGTGAAAAATAAATTTTTACAGTGAAAATACGGAAAATGAAAATACGCATTTTATTTCATCAATATTTCTCAATATTTCATTTGTAAGTATATAATAAATATATATATATATATATGAGTAGGCCTATGTTTTAACTTTCAATATATTGAAAAAACAGAATATAATTAAGTTTAATAAAATATAATCACAGGTGAACGATGATCTTTAATACTCAGCCGTGAACTCCCCTAAGTGTATACGTGCTCTTCAAATGGTTGCATCATTCTGATACAGTTTTGTTGTACAGCCAATTGAAGATTGAAATTAATTAGAAAAGGCAGAAACATAAGACCTGATATGTGTTATTGTGAAAGAGATTGGTTCCGAGGACGTGATAGTGCGATGCCGACATCGTCTGTGATGTAGAATTTGTAGTAATAAAGAACAGCAATTTCTGATCCGTATTGACGCCAATGACAAATTTAAATCTTGTCATATGTACTCAAAGTTCAAAAGATGGACACTCGTGAAAATTTAAAGGCTAGTTATACTGATAATGACCATATTATTGAATGCAAATCAAAGGATTAAAACGTTTTGAGAAAGGCTTGTATGCAATTTATGTTTTTGTTTCACTCACGTACATGTACTTTATATCTGGAAAATTTGATTCTGATTGTATGATTCACATTTACTGTTCTGGTTATATGAAGCTACTCGGTTGAAAGTTATATAGTGTACCAATATAAAATTATAAAGTGGTGTCACAACAAACAAACAGTAGTGAGACACAGGCAAAGTCTTCATGTCTTCGTTTTAAATTTTTCAATCATTATTCTGAAAATGTCCTCAAAATGTATATACTTAGCTATTTCAGGAAAAAAAACTTTTCTTCTTAAAAAGAATAAAATAGTAGGTTCCTAACTTGACCAACGCTGGTCAGGTTAGAGCGTTATATAAAACTATCCCATTGTGAAGTGATAAGGTATGATTTATAAACAGCATTATTTTTACCGTACATTTCCAAATCTGTGTACTAAAATGGCTCAAATTAATTATAAGACCTGACTATTTGGCTGTTTCGAACTTACCTGTGTAAAAAATTAATATTACTCTCTATAGAATGATGACAACGGGTTAGGAGCTCCGTGTACAAACTGTTTTGGTTGCTAAATACATATCACTTTCCCCTGCCTGCTGTGAGTTCGAATCGTGGCAGATTCTCATGTTAGGAAGCTATTCAGCAAGCTTACAGAGGGACGCTGGTTCTACTTAGGTGCCATTTTCACCATTTTGCTCCTTTCGCTTATGTGCCGCAATCAAGTAATTAGCACTGTTTAAATTAATTGCTAACTTGTATGGAAGACAAATGACCAGTTTGTTTACGTTGACAAAGCTTCAAACATGCCCTTAATGAATATTTGTTTTAGTTTGTTGTCATCGCACCAACACATTATAGGTCATATGGCAACTATTCAGCTTTACTGTCGAATGAAGACCTTAATCCTATTTTCATTTATAATTTGCCTTTAACTTTACTAGTATTTGATGTATTTTGTTCAGGTTTGATATGAATATATGAATATTTATGTTTACACGAATAAGACGTTAAGTTTTTAAATGATGAGGAAATTATAGACCTGGTCGGTCGGATGTAAAATCATGCATGCAAATATTCAGCAATAAACACTAAATGTATTATGAGCACAATTATAACGATTATAAATTTACGATGATAAATTGTCATCTAATCTTGTCGTTTCCTCTTGCATTGACCCAGATCGGCAATAAAAAAAACTCCATGTGCTCAACATAAAATGTATAAATCATCTACTTATACGCATCTTGATTAACCAAATTAAGTTGTTGCTTTTTGTTTGAAAACATACTTGGCGTTTCAAACAATACTGCTATATTTGTTACATTTGTTTCGGATGAGCATTTATTTTTTACTTAACTAGATCATCATTATTCGCAGCAATTAGTTGAACTGAATAAGCGCTATAGCGAAGCGTGATATAATCATTTTGAGTTGCTTTGCTTATCTTCACGCGGACTTGTTTTCTCCAAATAAAATGGCTCCTTGAATGAGAAATTGAAATTATTTATCTGTGCTACACATATAAATAATCTTGCAAAATACAAAATCTTACCTACATAACCCTACATAAGTTGTTTATATTAATATAAAAGTTTATGTTAAACGACACAGATTTGCAGGATTTATTGCAACACATGATCATATATACCGGTATACTCGGTCCTATGATATCATGGGTTCTATGAGATCACGGTATTTACGTTTTCTGTGACTGCTAATGAAAAAACACACAATAAAGCTAATATTTTTAAAACTGACATACTCAATTCATTTTCATCTGCCAATAAATTCAATTTTGTAAATAATGAATGTATTCGTGACAAGAAAAATATTTTATAAAATCGTCATATTTTACTACTATTTTCCTTAGATGTTTTTACACAGTCAATATAAATATGGTATAATCACATATACTGACATATCATCAGTTCATGTAGTTTGAATTTTATAGCAAGTTAACTGTTGGAAGTCACAACATAACTTGAAGATTTTGACCCATCTATCATTCCACACTTGCATTTTTGGGGACTACCGTGATACCATAGTAACCTCCTCTGAAATTACCCAAAATGGCAGACATTGGAAGTAGTTTAAAAATGTCATTTTAATTGGATCTTTTGAAAAAAAATTTTGACAAACAGTTTTCGAAATAGTTCACTGATTAAATAGAAGTAAAATCTTATTCATGTATATATTTATATTTGAATATTTTTAATAAACGTTAAGTATCGTGATATCATAGAACCCCGGGCTTTATATATTAGCACATATATGTGTATTTCCAATTTTTCCAATTGGAACTTATAACGGAAAAATAGCATGCGAACATTGAAGGTTCGATTTGATTGAATTTGGTATTGAGAGATAATTAAACATAAAATATCTCTCATTTCAAACCAGAACCGACTTACGCAAACTATTTCTAAATAAATCCATTTAGCACGAAGAACGCTTACCCTTCAGTCTTCAGAACTGTTACAGTAGTAAAATAATTAAGAACAATGTTACAGAATTAAAACTTTGCAACTTCTTGACAAGTTTCCGATTCTACTGACAGTAGAAATGCGCCAGTCACATTTTTAGCTGTTTTACTTCCACGTATAATTTAATTTACTTAGAATAAAGTGATACAAGCAGAACAGTACATATCTAAGAAAGTTATTGCTTAAGACAGACATATGAGTGATTGTTCTGTTATATTGATATAATTTGTTTATTAGCTTCAATATCAGGTGCAGATGATAACAACATGTTTATAACTGATGATTGTATTCCGGTTAAAACATACATTCTAGTTTAGTTTAAACAATATTTTATTCACATAATGATACTTGTTAGTACATTACAAATAGTATTGAGTTTGCAATACATATATAATAAGAAAAGAAAAGAACGAACACAGTATATTTCTTATACATTTTGGAATCGGATATGAAAACAAGTATAAAATACTTATTTTGATTCATCTCCTAAGGTGTTGGAAGAAGAATGGCAGTCATTTGAAAAGAAGTGTAATGTGTAAGAATATAGATTTAATAATGATTATTATTAGGTTTTGCTGCTACAGTGATTGGAGTTTTTGTCCTTGATAGCGTGAAAAAAACCTGTATAATGATAGATGATATGTTTTCAACTATTCTTTTTTAAGATAATCAAAAATAATTTGTAAACCAAATTACTTGAGTACCTTATCAACATTTGTGAAAAAAGTCAACAATTGAAGAAAATATATTACTATCACATAAAAATATCACAGATAATTCTCAAAGACAAACATTTGAATAAATAATAAGAAACGTGTATAAAAACGAAATGAATATAAGATGTATAACATTTCAATACAGAGGAAACTTTATTTCGGAATTTAGTAGGCAAAAGGTCAAAGTGAACATGAATACATGTGCATAAACAAGAAATAAATAAAAGTAGAACAAAACAAAAAACAAAACAAACTAATTAACACCAACTGCTATTTGTGTTGTAATAAATCAAGTACCAAAATTTTCAGCATCATTTTCTATCTTTATATTTACGAACATGCCATAAATATACTAAGTAGACAAACATCGACCAACAGGAAACACAACTTTTAGTTATATAGAGCTTTTTTATATTCATGATTGTAACAATTTATAAAAAAAACTTTGAAAGTTTAATTGTCTTTTAGTTTTATTATCTTTCCGAAAAATCTTACACGAGTTCAATTTTCTTAACGCTCCAGCTATAACTGAAAATCATTATCACGAACACGTTGTTTAAAAATATTTTCCTTGGGATAATACTTGTACTGTTATAAAATATGTGTTATTTATATACTTATAGCAACTTAACATTAATCAGACATCATGTTACAGAGAAAAATCTTATATTAAACTACCTTTTGCAAACAAGTATAATATGCATACATGCTCTTAAACGTTGCGTGATTTCTGTGATACAAAAATCATTTGTAAAGTAGTTAAATTGGATATATTTCAAAAGACACATGTTCAAAGCGATATGGCTAAGGAATCGTTTAATAACTAAAAACTTAATTTAATAACCTGCTGAATTTCTCACAAAATGGAGAGAAATACAAAATCCCCAAGATCGAGTCCAACTTTCCCTTTAGAAACTATTATTATCCACTTTGAGGATTTCAAATGAAAATATAGTCAGTCAGCAAACATTACAGAGCCGGGTAACACTGCACGGACACTGGTAACAAACACTTATTCCTTTCGGTATTGTTGAATAATAAATGAAGTGCAACTGCACTAGGTATTTAAGCTATTAGCATAAGCTGTTAGCAAAACAATATCAACAGAAAAATATCAACATAAACAGTGACAACTATATAAAATCAATATCAGATAAAATTTAGTTTAAATATCAATATTTCTAAGATTCAATCAAACAGTAAAGTTGGGGAAAGTATTTCTTTCATATGTATAACTGAAATAACTTAACTTAAACATTTGCGTAATAACATACTGATATGCCTTTGCTTTTTTGTGTATTTATGTCAAAAACATAATAAAAATGTAAGATAAGTTTAGAATACACCTTATACCTTAATTATTTGAAGATTATTTTTGATTTTACATTACAACTCTTTTTTCGTTCCTATAAACTTGATGTACGTTTATGAAAAAAGAATTTTAGATTGTATTCAAGTAAATTTTATAAGTTTATAGACCCATGAGGACAACAAATTAATAAATAATCAACATATAAACATAAAATACATACATGTATAAAGATGTCAGCAGTGTAGAACATAAAAATAAGGCATTTAACATTATCATCTGCCATAATTCTTCCAAAGTAAATGTTAACATACAAATAGTTCTGTATAAAATACAATGCATGACGAAATGATAAGTAATTAAGGATTATCTAAAATATCAATCTGTAGATCCTAATTACCTCTTAGGATCTTGAAGTTCGAAAATCCCAAGATAAAGTGTAAAATATCTACAAGGGAACAGAATAAAAAAATTTACTCTATATCAAAAATTAAAACTAATGTACATGAAGGAAAATGAAACCTTGTTACTAAAATGAAACACAAGAATTTTAATAGCAAATATGATGATCAGTTATATAGTTATCTAATTAACAATTGTATGAAGGATTCGATTAATAATACACCCTCACTACCCGCACACATACAGAAAGACATGCATATAACGTCATGACTGTACACATGACTGTATACATGTATATAAATTAGAATTTTCAGATCCGATTATTGTGAAATACTAATTAAAATGATAAACAAGAAAGAACGACGTTTCCTGAATGCAGCTTCTGGCTGCATCACCAAATCAATGTAACACCTCCTCTTTGAACATAATTAACCATATTGTCTATAGATATTTTCGGGTTCTAGTCAGGTTTGTTTGTGCCATGGCGGAAAAAAGGTTTTTCCGGAACCAGAAGTTAACAGAAAAATAATTAAGACATTTCCATTCCTACTCCCGAGTCAGAGACACTTTGTGTACATGTCGGCGGCGTGAATCGGTGCATTTTTAATTCCGTACAACCAACGGCTCTTAGAATATCACATAATGGCGTGACAAACACGCAACCATTCATCCCCCCTTCAACAATACCAATAGCAATTGAATCCTCTTCTCCTTCAATCAATACTAACGCGCCAGAATCTCCACGTTCGGCAAAGGGGTTCTTTCCTATTTGAAGAACTACCATTTGATTCTTTAGATTAAAACCAAAGCCCTGATGTCCTTGCATTTGACCTTTACGTAAGGCGGCACCCTGTAAGTCAAAGCTTCCTCTTGTGATTCCGGAATTCATGCCAAACTTGTACACTTCAGTCCTACGCTTTATTTCAGATGTTTCACAAACTGCACCAGAATTGAAACACAATGGATTACTTGCATCGAACCCTGACGAAAGGGTAAAAAAAAAATCAATTAATTTACTGTACAAGGTAAGATTACACAACTAATTAGAAAATATATAAAGAAGTGATTAATCAAATATAAAGTAAATGAATAACAACATTTTTGTTGCGTTGAGCCGTTTTGACATAAGTATACATTTCTGCTATTTATTTTTTAATCACATTATTAAAATCAGCAAGATCGTCCATTTTACTCATTGATTTTTTCGAATTGTCTTTTTTTATATTTATCATGGAACTGCTATGTTAATCGCCCGATAACACTTGCCTGGTATTTTTAATATCAGGCCAGTCCAGTAACGTAAATTCAAAAACAAGCCCCGCCCATTTAACAGACCTTTTTCAATTGCTTATATTCTCATTTATATCAACGTGTGAATTCTACAATATTATCTCATACCCTTACAAATCTTGAATCAAGATACTTTATTTATCTATTTGAAATGAAGTGACGTCATAGTTGATACTGCGAATGACATCATCGATGTCCAAATCATATTTACACGCTTGGTAAATGATAGAGCTACCTCTTTTGGTGGTATACGGTAATCTTCCGAGCTACTGCATGTCGCTAGTGTTTTCTTTGTAAACACTTAATCAAATATCGAAATTCTAAGAATGCTATACCATGCAGATTTGATTAAAGTTTCCAGGGAGCGTATAGTTAATAAATTTGTGTTTGAAATGTAGTAGAAGCAGCGTTTCCCAGTGAGCGATTTAAGAGTTGAAATGGACCGTTTTATCACGAAAGAGATGGTTTATCCTCCTATTTTAATTTAAAAAAAAATACAAATTAAAATCGAAATCAATACGTTTCATGTCGATATAAGGTCAAAAACGCAAATAGGATTTTTATCAAAACAAAACATTTATTAAACTTCGCCCCTTTCTAGCCCATATCAGCCTTGCATGTTAAAATTGATATCAAAAGACAGTAGCATATTAATCTCTTTTTACAGCTCATACCGTATTCTATTTTTTTTTAAACTGGAAACTAGTTGCGACTTAAGGCTCGATGATTCAGTGAAAACTTTAAATACAATAACAATTCAGAAAACAGAGGCTGTTTTGACATACATTTTCCTTTCACAAGCATAGGTATTTGCAGTCTTCAAATGATTTGTGACTTGTGCCAGTTGGTATACAGCCAAACATGTCACTGACATTTCATTAGACAATTTCATGTTGTACAAATAATAAAGAAAAAAGATACATGTATTCAATTTTAATCATGTTTAACCTACTTTGTTTTAGTAATTCATATATTTTTGTATTGATTCGATCTTGTTGTTAATGAATTTTCTGGGTTGTCTAAATTTTATAGAAACGAAAAAAAATAGATGAAAATGCATGGTGTTTCTATCTAAGTTTTCTTGAAATGTTCATTGTATTGTTAGTCTGCTTAATGATTACAATTATCGTATTCATAATTATTAAAGCACAAAGCTCCAAATAGCAATTTCGGGACATAGTCACACTTACTTGAAAATTTGTTTAAAAATATCAATTTGAAAGTAAATATCTCACCAGGGAAGACAATAAAATTATCGGAATTATCCGAAACATGTTTTTATCTAAGTTATCATTTGTCAACAGGCGACAAGAAAATAATCGGAATAGTCTTTCTGGAATCTGGTTCTGATAAAATGACTGTTTTGACATTTTCTTGCATAATTTATAATATGATAATCATTGTTCATATATGATACAAGTAGTCTTACCTGCTTCAAAATCTTTCAATGTTTCGGGAAAGCTTCCATTCGTCGGTTGTCTGCTTTGTATTTGTACAAGAGCAACTTCCATTCCAGATGCAGAACGACTACCTTCATCGTAAACAGCTTGAACGACTTCACCAAACGCTGACGAACGTCCACCAATAGGCTGATAAACTGTCTTTCTCAAACGTAATTGTTTTTTGTCTATAACTTCAGTCATTTCAGCATCACTATAGACAACGTGTGCACTTGTTATTCCACATAATCCATACGTTGAATGGTCAATAAATCCCCCAAGAGTACCTCCTAAAATATCATCTCCTTTCAAAACATTAGCATGTATTGCTAGACCAATTTTAAGATCTTCATGGTACTCGTTTGGCCCTTGCATATATGGTTCGAATTCTCCTTCCAAAACATCTGTTTGGAAACAATCAATCATCGTTTGAAAGGGTGTCTCGTTTAGAGGTATATAACCCTTTACTGACACATAAAGAGCTATACAAGGTTTTTCTAAAATTTTATGTTGACCTGATCTGTATCCAACTGACTTTTTCGAGCTAGGTAATATCACATTAAGATTACTATGCATTTTAAAGAGATCGTCAGCATTCTCGTTTATGCATTTTCTAAGCTGTTCAAAAATGTCATCGTCACAATGATTCATCGTTCTATCTTTTATTTCACATTTAGCAACAATGTCTCCCTCAGGACTGTATTGGTTTGCACATTTCATAAAATAATCATAATCTTTGAAAATGGGAAAGGAAGAAACCCTTTTTATAATAATTAAAAACACAACAGACTCAGAGTCTGCTTGGTACGATGGCAAAATGTCGATGCCTTTTTTCAAATCCTTCTTCATATGGTGGCGTATCGAAGAGCAAATACTTGAAATGATTCTTGAATTGGTCCCAAATACACGAAAAGCCATGTTTAGTTCATTTTTAGTAGGTAAAATATCCCTTTCAATTAGTATATTTGCATCAGATTCACTTTTTCTGTTGATGCATCTATCCCAAGATACTGAAATGTAAATAGTTTTTCGGAATAGCACTATTAAAATATTTTTTATCGACATTTAAATCGAATGTTATTGTGTGTTACTAAACTTTTAACTGAACACAGATACGTATTATTGGCAGGCATCTCTTACAATGATAAAGTCTTAAAATATATTAACACAACTTCAAATCTAATATCAAGACATAATAAATATATCGATGGCAACAATTAACAGTATACAAAATTAAAAAATCAAATATTTTTTTTTATTTATCATCCTTGTCTTTTCTACTATACAGACAATTTCCTTGTACTGAAATATCAATATTATTGTGTTGTTGCTTTATAAACAAGCGATAAAGTGATTGTCTACAATTTCAATCTTGATCAGTAGGCTTTTAATTTGGATAAACATTATAATGCAGTTTATGAAATCAAAGCACCGAAGGCAATTCATTTATTTGTGTCACAGAAATAGGTCCTATTGTATTAATAACAATATGTTTCTTCACTTGAATCATTTATTCTGATCATTTATTCTGATTTTTTTTCTATTATTAGTATTGTCTACAAAGCCCAGAGTTAAAACATTTGGCTTGCAGCATCAATTTGTAGTTTTCTACATTAATATATTACTCATGATCCAAGGCCGAAATTGGCATTGCCCTGGGAGTCGCTAATGTGGAAATCAAATTTATTGTAGAAAATAATATTTGGCACAGAGCATAACCAAGAAGTCATCTAATAGATATAGTTCAACAAAACTTCTAATGTACAAATGTTCCAATGTTGGATGTCATTTATTATCATAAATATAAAACATTGTTCAGGTAAGTTTCTGGTTGTTATATTTTCCCTAATTGAAGAAAAATATTTTAATCACTTAAACAAATTTACATTGGTGCAAATATAACCCGCCTATGCGGTGCTATTGTAATTACCGTGTAGAAATAGTTACTATATTAAGAATAGCATGGTCTATATAGACAAGGTTAGAGATTTGAAAAATATGCACGATATTGTGTATATATTTAACAATCGGAATATTTGCGCTATTTTGGCATTGAAATGAATCTGTTGAATAAAGATTTTCATTACCATTTTATTTGTTAAGACGTTTTTACTTGAATCTGTAAATCTTTTCTTTAAATTTTAAAATGCTGCTCTTTTAACGAATAGAAAACATCTTTATTCATATGCGATTGCGAGCGCGCGCATGTTTAAGCTTTTTAATAATAACATATTTATAACATAATATGCTATATTTTAGCATGTTCTAAAGTTACAATGGTTATCTTTTTTATTAAAGGAAAGGGAACTTAAAATCATGGGAAATATTTTAGGAAGTCCTGCCAAAAGTAACGCTTTTGAACGTAAAGTTTACGTTAAGGCTTTTGACAAAATATCTTTCTTCTGTTAACCAAGCTAATAAACATATATAATTTATCTTTTATATTTTATGAACTATTTCTGTATAATTTGAGATTTCTACACTTTTTCTTGTGTTTTGTGTTGAAGCAAACCTTTCAACAACACTTATATTCCATTGTCCAAAACAAAACAACAAAAAACAACATGTGATCAGTTTTTATGTGTTGTTGCTTCAGCTTTGTTCTAAAAAACCCTATTAAAGCGTGATGTAATGGGTTCATTATTAGGATTTTTCTAACCATACCTCATTTATCTGAATTAACTTATTCATTACTTCTACTTCTATTTCAGAAGCTCCTGTTATGTTTCTATATTGGTCATATGTCGGCAGTCTTGTGCTTCTGTCAGTCAGTTGAACAAGTTTGTTTTTAGTTTTATTTACTTAGGCATTTGTTGGTCATTTTGAATTTCCTTGTTAATTGAAGAATGAACCATTGTTTAGATGTGATAGAAATATTTCAGATTCATATTGTCGCAATTACGAACAATTTACTTTGAAGTTATTTCGGAACAACTATTTGATAGAAAAAATCCATTTAGAATATGTTTCCTTGTACCCGTTTATTATTATACCCCAAAATGATTATTTTCTTTTCGTATGTTTTGTTTCCCCGAATTCTGCTATTTGAGATTGAATTCCTAGGACTACTTCAAGAGAATAAAAGATTTTCTATTGTAAGACCATTTTTTTGAATTAAATTCATATTTTATGAAATTCGAATAAAAACTTGCGACATTTGGTCAACAAAGACTGTATTTCCTTGAGTCCGATAAGATTGAGTTTTATATTGATTGCTTTCGTTAAACTTTCCATTGCAGATAAAAGTCAGGGAAGTTTGCTACCTATCCCAGATAATTTTTTGCTTTTCCTGTCTTCTACAATCCTATTTGACGCAGAGGCAATTGGAAATGTAATACCTGTATCCTCATTCTTTGCTGGCATGCTCCGTCGCTTACTCCGGTATTATATAAGTTTATAAGCAAAAATAGGTATAAGAAATATTTCCGGGCCCGGATTTAATTACCTTATTAATAATATGAAAACTGACTTCATATTCAATTAATGACAAAATAATTATCAAAATACTAGGCATGTTTCACGTCTATTGCTGATCAAGGGAGATAAGTCATGAAGTACTGTCAATATTTAAGTTTTTGCACGATAATTAATGGCGATAAGTTTTTTTTAAAGTATCTGATGAAGCACTTTTCTTTAGGTAACATAGCTGATGACATTAATGTTAAGAAAATGGAAACTTATAAAACAAATGCGTTCATAAATATGTTTTCTTACGCTAATTTGCCGTTTTGACGGGTCCCTAATTTGCAGCACATTCATTGTTCTACGCGTTCTTAATTTGTTTCCTGTTCGACAATTATAGTGTTTTTTACAGCCACAGTAAAACGTACATTGACATACACTTTACACGGCATTCAATCATGTACATTAGATGTTTCCCCTAATCAATTAAATAAAATTGCCTTCATGCATTTAATTTGATCAAAAAGACTGTAATTTGATCTGTTACATTTAAATACCATGATATTTTCGCTTGCATATTAATCTATAAAGATAACGCTTAGAATTTTTTGTGATTTTTTAACATTGAAAATCTGTCAAGGTGATCAAATCCTTTTGAATCGTTACTACATGACATTTTAAGAAAGTACTAAAAAGCATTGGATATGCAACACTCCCGTTTTATTATAGACCTTCTACGGATAAACATCTAGGAATATACATAAACAGCGTTCTTAGTAATTTAAACTTTGTATATCGTGTCTGCTCTCTTGACAATCGAAATACCGAAAATCGGAATTTACGTTTTTCTGTTGCTAATGAATGTATTTGTTGAACGGCTTGGCTTATTTATAAACATACCGTCGTTTTGATAGGCCATATAATCAGACGAGAAATAGGTGCTTCCCGTCGTCATTCCTGTTATTATATCCCTGAAAATGAAATATAATATCAACAACATTTTTGTCTTTATACAACAGTTATTTAAAAACCGTTAATGAAAGATATATTTTGTTAACTGATTTTTGAATAAACTGAAACAAATGGTTTCAACAAAAATCAAAGAACATAAAATGCATAAAACATTGAATAGTTAAGTCTGATGTGCATTTCTTTGTATCTATAAATTTAACAACATTTTAATACATGAAATAAATGTCATTCATTAATTCAAAAATTTATGTCTTAGAATGTATCAAGGTTATTTATAAAAAAACGTACGTGATAGTATAACAAAACTTTTTTCAAAAGTATGCATAAAGTATATGCAAAGTATGTTTATTATTTTGCCGTGTTTGCTGTAACTGGCTAGAAATTTGATATATGAATGGATAGCCTTCATATTTTGATATGGCATCCTTTTATAATTAGTATATGGAAATTTTAAATAAGTGGACAAACATGACATATCAAATAGAGAAAGTAAGAATACCTAAAGAAAGCCCAACACGTCACAATTGAAAATGTTGTAGGCTCGGTTTGATTGAGCCTGTTAGACGCAACAATCCTTGAGAATAGTTCTTCAGGTTGATGAGATAAAATTGAAATTGATTCATAAATGTTTTTTACTTTCAAGGGCAATTTATTAGTTCTAACTGGCTGTCCCTTTTCATCTCAGGCACCAGGAGTAATATTGAACTTGAAATATCCATATAATATCACAATGAAACTGTGTTTCAAGTTTGATAACACTGATAAATTGACATTATTTCTTTTAATTTGATTTGGCTTAAGCATGCGTTTTTGTACATTGATGTACTTTAAATGTACTTGAATTTGAAATAATAATGCAATATTACAATTCATAGGTAGTTTGACAAAATCTAGTTCTTTTTTATTTAAATTGGTTTCAGAAGACTTCTTTTTCTTTTACTTTATTTTCACCATTTTTCTTATGTTTATTAAAATGACGAAAACCAAATAATTATTCCCTTTTTGAAAAGCAATTAATTGTTATTTTTAGTAGTACACAAATGAAACAAAAATAAAAGGTGTAGTTCAAATATGGCACTAGCCAACTTAATTTTCAAATAATAAATTTGATGGTTTAAGATATGAATCACCTTCAGAGATAGTTCTTGTTGATCTTGTTCCATTACTTCACTTGACTTCAATGAAATCCATTTTAAATGTTTATTAACTGCCTTTAAAATTTGTCTTATGAGGTCTTGTCTGTAATTAGCAGTTTTATATTCGTTGATCGTCTTTCAAAATTCAATGACTAACTACTTTGAATTTTAACGTCAAGGACACAAGTGGTCTTGCTCTTTGGAGGCATATTTTTGTCACTGAACTGAACTTACTAATCACATTAACCGCCGCATGAACAATCTGCTGATGTTTCTAAATTGAAATAGAAATGTATCCATAGGACACGTGTCGCCACACGCCACACTTGTTAGTCTACTGACATACAGCAGGACAGTACGAAAGAGAGACAGACAAATGTAATTTACATGCTGATCAACAGATTTGAAGTTCATATGTCTGGGTCAACTACTTTTTGACTTACGTCAGACGCGCATTTCATATTTTTAAAGTCAATGGCAGTAAACCTACAAATTTTGAATAAATCTACAAGCAATCCCTAGGTGCATTACTTCACATGTTGACTAACCTAACATTCCCGTACACTTTAATGACTTCAAGTCAAAAACTTGTTGGATTACCCATGACACAAGTTGAGAATTACAAATTTATACTTCAACAAGGGCAATAAGTCTGACAAAAATGAATTAATCGACACGCAAAACACATAACTTTACATTATTCCTGTAACGTTGACTGTAGCTAAAGCACATTTCAAGGTTCACATGGAACAACATTTTGGAACGGGATTTACGAAGTCAAAGGCAATTACTTTACAAATTCTAAAGAAAACACCAAGGTGCATAATATATATGCTAAAACATTTTGTTAAGATGCATGACCGTAGTTCAGATACTTTTTTAGGCTACGCACGAGACAATTTGAGAATTGCAAAATTTTTACTAAGTCTACAAAACTCTACAAAAACAAAATCAATCCAAAAGCATACCCCTATATGTACAACAACACATGCTGACCAACATTTCTCTACAGGTTCTTGACTTTACATATAATAATTTTTGAACTTTGTGCGACACAAGTTAAAAGCTGCAAATAATTTCTAAATCAGTGGCAATTACTATACAAGTACTGAATGAACATACAAGCAAACTCAAGGTGCACATGCTGACCAATTTCTTTTTCCTGTAAAGTTTTGTGATTCTATGTCAAACACATTTTATTAGCTACGCATGACACAAATTGAATTTCAAATTTTTACTAAGTCAAGAGCAATAACTCTGTCAAAATTTAATGAATATACAAGTGAAATACCAGGTGCACAACTTCAAGTTGATCATCGATCCTTCAAAACTTTGTTGCCTCAAGAAAAAACGAGAATAAAAATCAACAAGGCAAAGGCACAGTTCACAGGACTCAGCCCCCTACACACCCAAGCTACCACAGCAGGGTACACAGAAGGCGTCAAACCAAAACTGAGAGTAACATAAGACCGGCGTAAGGAGGAGAAGGACACATTGTGTTTTAAAAACTAAAATGGGTTTATATGGGAATTTCAAGCAATTTTAGAGCTCCATGCGACACAACATGAGAATAGACGGACGGACAGAGGGACAAGGGCAAATCTAAATATCCCCATTTCCTTAAGTGTGGACAAAAAAGCACCATTTTCATCTTGTTGAGTTCAGAATAAACCGGTGCTATGGGACGGTAGCATGCGTTTGCCACTGCCGTCCGTGAACATGTTTAATCAAATCTAGCCGGGAACACTTTCAGTATTGTCGTTTGGGAGTTTTTAAGGTATTCTGTTTTCTGTGTTACTTGTAGGGATATATTCTATATGACTTTTCCTTTAAACTATTTCATTTTTCAACTTACACTTGTGCCTTTTCCAGCTTTTGTTTGTAGCCCTGCTCTGCTATTTGTTTGTAGTTTTGCCTGGATGGTTTTTGAAGGCGGTTGTGCTCCTTGATAAGTGTAATCCCTTCTTGTTGATTTTGAATGTCATCCTTTTTAGAAAAAGAAACATAATTGTTAATATTTAAATTGTTGTTCGATATTGCTGTCAATAAACAAACTTTAAAGGTATTTAAATCTTGAGATTTATGCAGTGAGTTAACGAAATAGAAACACTTTTAAAATAAAGCTTTAAGAAAAAAGATTACCTAATAAATTCAACGGGTTAATCTCAGATTTTCAAGATTTCCTTTGATGAATTTTACGTCGAATATTACTTTTTTATTCTTTTTTTTTGCGAACAGTCAATTGCCGATTCAAGATTGTTTTTTAACTTCTCACATAGGTTTTAGGAAATAAGACTACACGTTACATGTACCCTGGTACTGCAATTATAAATTTAATTTCAAGAAGAACAAATATGACAAATATGTTCTAAGACTTTAAGAAAATTAGAAGATCAAGCAATAATATACGTGAAATGTGCGATAATTAAATGACTTTACAATTACTGTAGTTTTCACCGTAATTTTAACTTATCTTGTTAGGACTATTTTGCATATTTTGATCTCCTCTTGGTTATTTATATATAGTATTTGAAATCAACAAAACAACTCGCCAATATAGCTTTAAGGGAACATCAAGGCAAACTGTACAGAAGAAACAAATCAAAATACAATTATTTTTCTGCTCGAATCTTAATGTTCCATCCAATTAGCTTACGGAACATTGATAGTACTACTCGGGTTCTAATTCGTGCATGAACTAATGCACAGATGGCTATCTGAAGTCATCTTACAACTATAAAGTCGCTATATTACATTGTTTTGACAATAGAATGATACAGAGAGATAAAAAGTACTTACTTGTTGTCCTGTATTTCTACTGGAAAACATGTTTTCCGACGAATCAGATGTTCGGTGCCAGGGCAACTAAGAATTATAAAAGAAATAATTAATATAAGAATTTTCATTTTCCAAAGACATACCGAAACTCGCCAATGAAGCATACCAACACGGTTTTGGATTATTATCTCCTTTTAAGTTGATATATAATTATTCGCTTTCTTTTTAATGTTTAAGGGTTCTGTCGTGGACTGGTTTGATTGTCGGAAAATGTTCATCCAAACGACATTTTTATTACAAGCGGTAAATGTGCTTCCTAACATATTTCGAATACGGTGAATTAATTTTTTCTCTACCACGGCTGAAGTTTTAATCAATTTTTAATTTACTTATCTCTGGTTGGAATAAGACACTTTTTTGAAAATTTGATAGAAGGCTATGCTAATTTTTAGTCTGCTTGAGTGTGAACAAGACAAATAGATTCGGGAAAAATAGAATTAATGCGACAGCAATCTTGGATTTCAGAATGGCTGACAATTTCCTTTGCTTCTATATTTTGAAAATAATGAAGATCACAGACATCTGCACAAGTCAGCTCGCCTGTCTGCTTCGATGGATTTTGAAATAAACTGCATGAATTTTTGGCATATTTAGACAATGACATAAGCAACAACCAGCTTTGAAGCTCACATTTCAAACAACATAAGTAACAAAAGTTAAGTTGATAAGGCTTAAAAAGGTTTGGCCAGTTTAGGAATCTGTAAGTCATAGTTACATTTAAAAATGATTTAGCTTACATACAGTCATGGCTAAACAACGAATAAGAAAAGGATGCACTTCGTATTATTTCTTATGAGTCAAACAGTTGTATCATGAAAAGGGTTTTGTTTCAAAGAGGGGGATATGTTTTATGTCAATTTTAACTGCGCAAGATTATGTACTAGGACAAGTAGTGCCTAAAAGCTAGTTCAACAACCCAAATATCAGTATCATGCCTTTTTCATTAGTTCATTAGTGAGGCATCTGATACACAATTTGTTATTCACAAATTGATCTAAAAGAAAAAAACTATAAGCATTTCAAAAAATATTGTCAAAATATTAGGAATGACCATTCAGACGAATATTTTAAAAAGTGTAACCCGACAAAATCATGGCATATGGCGTGCCCGGTAAACACCCTTTTAGACATTTGTCTTTCATTTTGTGATCATCTCATACCAAATTATCGGTCTGATTGGCCTATGCTTAGACAGGAGGTGTACGGGTAGAAATTGATAAATTTTAACTTTAATTTAACTTAAATTTTAGTTTTTAACTTTGTCATTACTTTATGCCTTTAAACAATTTTGGCAAATTGAGAGAGTGAGTCACGTGTAAAACCCAGCTGAAATGCTAAGACAGGAGATGTAAGGGTAGAAATGGTCAAATTTTGTTAATTATATATGTCACATTGAAACGACAGTACCTTAGCGTGAATATGTTAATTTAAACACGTCATGGGTTGGCAACATGATCATGATTAAGGTTAAAACTTCTAACCCATTAATCATGATATAAATGTGAAAATGTGGTTGTGTCCAGTTTATAACTTTGTCATTACTTTATGCCTTTTGAAACAATTTTGTATAAGTATATGGTAAATTGAGAGAGTGAGTCACATGTAAAACTCAGCTGATATTGTAGATCAAAGATCAAAGTCACGCTTAGATTCTGTCATTCATTGATGAATTGTTGTGGCATAAATATGCCGCTTCTTAAGACGACATGTAGCGTACAAGAGTTCCAAGGTCACACTTGAATGTCAAAAGTCAAGATATAAAACTTCATTATTTTTAGTGTCAAGTGAATATAAAAGTAATGTATTGATTTTTAAGGATAAATATGTGACTTTGAAATAAAGTGTACTGATGAGAAAATAAGTGTAGCTTTAAGATATGGATCACAAGTAGACATAAAAGGTAATATTTTGTTTTGTATAAATGTTGTCTAGAAATCTGTAATTGCGTGGATATTAGCATATCTACGCATTTATGGCACATAATGAATTATTGTAATGCTAAACACCAGATCGACAGCCAGAAGGGTCAACTTAGAACAGTTGAATTTTCCTTATTATGCTGTCCGGGGGAATTCCAATAGGACTTATTGACAACATCTTATTTCATGCTTTCCAATGTTTTATTGTAATATATCAGATGATTATATTCTGATAAACAACTTGTGAAATTTATAATACATGTATATAATTTTCACTATAGCCGAACTATATCTGAATGCGGATGAAAAGAAAATAATAGCTAAATGGAATAACAGGCAGAAATAAATGCCGTCATGCGTAAATTTTGCTTCTTTAGGAAAAGAAGGTCGATGTCACCATATATCATGTTAAAAATGTAACAAAGTTAGAGAAATTTAACAGAACTATATTTCAAATTTTTTTTCACTCGTGGCTACAACACTGGTAAATATAGTTTGTAAGAACTATTGTTTTGATAACTTCGCTGCTACTTTCGTTCTATATTCTAAATTTTGTGTGACCTTCTTCACGGAAATTTAATAACAAGGTAAATTTCTTGATATTTTTAGATATTTTAAGTAAAACATTGATTTGATTCTGTTGCATACATGGTAAATTTCTGATTCTTTCAACAAATTGTACTTGTCATTTGGTTTATTTTAATTCAAACCCGATATTGTAAAGTTTCCACACAATTTCGAAATGTTGTAAATTTTATTATAAGAAAATTTTGGAATGGCCATCATTTTCGGATAGTTCATACTAGGTACAATACACTTTTGCGTGCGTGCGTTTGATAAAACACTTTCTCAAGCGTGCATCGTTTACAAGCGTTTAACGTTTATCGTATATCGTTTTTAGTTTATCGTGCGTTTGAAAGCGTGCTTTTGTTATCCCCAGAAACGCTTAGCGTGCGTCTGCGTTCGCCTAAACGTTTAAGTACCATGTTTTGCGTCTGTTACTATTGAGAAGTTAAAGAATATCTTATATAGAACTAAAGTTGTAAAACACTTATATGATAACGATATTTTATTAAATGTTTAGAAACGTTTTTATTTTGCATGCGTTTTAGCGTGAGTTTAACGTTTAGAGTATTTCGCTTTGCGTATATCGTTTTGCGTGCATCTGCGTTTTTCGTTTGGTAAAGCGTGCGTGTAACATTCGTTCGTACAGCGTGTAACGTGCTAGCGTTTTTTCCACAGCGTGTGTTTAACGTGTAAACTGAAACGCTCACCCTACTGTATGTTTGTGAATATCTGTATTATATTATTTTGCATTTTAATATATTATATTATTTTGTGTGTGTGAATACAGGTTTTTGTCTTACTGAAAAGATACACTCTGATTTTACATTTGGTTATTTGGGATATTATAGTAAAACTTAATAGATGTATTCAAATAGATAATTAGATTGTTTAGGTCTTGAATTTATTTCGTTTACATAGAAATATATATTATATAATTAAGGCTCTTGATTTCTGTGTTTATTGTTGACAGTGAATATTGGATATACTTTATTTCTTATCTTTGTTATATTTTCGATCCTTGAAGATCGTTCAGCACGACATTATTGTTGTGCTAGGGGGCATGGACGGTAACTTGCACTTTCCAGAACCGTCCATGAACAGGCTCAATCAAACCGAGCCTGCAACATTTTCAATTTTGCCGTGTTGGGCTTTCTTAAGGGATTTTGTATGTATCTATTTTATGATCACATCCGTGTTATTCGTGCCGTGTGGCGGCTGTAAAAAGTCTCCCCGTACATTTAATCAATGATGTTATATTTTCGATCCTTGAAGATTGTTGAGCACGACATTATTGTTGTGCTAGGGGCGTGGACGGTAACTTGCACTTTCCAGAACCGTCCATGAACAGGCTCAACCAAACCGAGCCTGCAACATTTTCAATTTTGCCGTGTTGGGCTTTCTTTAGGGATTTTGTACTTATCTATTTTCTATGTGTAAATTCTCTTCTAAACTAACTTACCACCCAGATTCGCGTGAAAGTATTTGTTTCGGTTGAAAGGAAGTACTGTCGTGTGATTTATTTGGTTTGTTTTTGTCTTTTCGTTTGTTTGGTTGGTAAGTTATTTGACTAGAAGGCGTAGCAGTGTCAAGTCATCTGGTCGACTAATTGGTAATTTATTAAGAGTATTAATTGTCGAAATTTGTCAATCAATAAATTCCGTAGATTTTGTCCCCACACATCAAAAATTAAACTTTCCTTTTTGTATATTACTAGTTATTCTAGTACTTGTTTCTTCCAGGAACTACATTGAAATTATTATCCTGCAATTTCTGTGTCAACTGATTGATAAGTACTGGTATTTACCGAGAGTTATTTAAGAGCTATCTGTCCAAATACAACTTGTACATTATGTATGTGTGAGTATTATCCAGTTTGAGTATTAAAACGTACTGGTACTGGTTAACCCAAGGAATTTGTAATGCCTTGATAATAGTTTGGTATACTGACAAGTTAGTACTGGACTGATATTAGTTTGATGTTATTTTTGACAGTACTGGTTCAAACGAATAATTTGCAATGTCCTGATACCTTGGTATGCTGACTGGACTGATATTAATTTGGTATCATTTTTTTGGACAGTACTGGTTCAAAATATGATAAACAAGATCAACAAGGAAAGGCGGCGTTCAATGAACGGAACCCCCACCCGACGCAGCAACAAAAGCCAGTGGCAATGTGGCAACCAGGAATGTGTGAATAAGTTTGTACTGGGTAGAATACGGGGTAACCTTTTATTATTTATTAAAGAATGTATAAAAAAGAGTTATCAGGTAAAATCATATATATACTTATACCAGGTATGTGTATATCGCTGGTCTATACCCAGACATCCAATTCTTTGTCTTATTTCTTATAGACTTCATTTTTTTTCAGGTCATTTTAATTTATTGACTCTACAATCTATCGACTTAATCCCAGTGTCTTTTTTTTCCTTTTATATTTTGCCTTTTTCAAAGGTGGCAGTCAGAAGTTGAGAAGAAATAGTGTTTTTCTGAGAAAGAGATGAGCAATATTTTGTCCAGCTGTAAGATCTTCTTTAA